AGTTGTAGAATTTCCACTCAGCCAGCCTTCCTGTGGTTCTGGATGATGTCCGTTCTGTCTTTTAGTTGTATTTTTGAAGAGGTTGTTCGAGGCAGCAAACTCCGGCGTTAACCTATGCCGCCATCTTGGTTCTCCTCATTATTTTCACCTTTATTGTTGAAAGTACTACATATGTCCACCCTTTCCCCCCATTGACCATTTCTAGCCTGACCTTGCCACCCCAGGCCTTCACCACCCTATTCTCTATGTCCATGGTTATGCATATAAGCATGCAAGTTCTTTGGTAATTCTCTCCCCACCCCCCCTTTCCTCTGACAGTTTTAAAGTTTCTTTTATACATTTGGAATTAAGGAGGGAATGACAGGAAGATGACATGAAAGTAGGAAAAAGAAAGGTAGGGATTGGATTACAGGAAAGTTAACAAAAGTATGTGCTTTCTTGAGGATGGTTACTCCTTTGAGGGGCCTGGAAAAGAGGATTACTTCTGGCATTTCAAGGTGTGTTAACCTAGATGCACAAGAACAATGAGTAGGGCTGGCTTAACCTTTTGCTAAAGAAGTTATAGGCTTGAGCCATGACTACCCAGCACACCTGGCAGTCTCATACATTTCCAGGTATTTAGTTTTATCTCCATTTAAAAGAGTTCCAAATTCAAATATCGAATTATTAAATATTTACTGAGTCCAGACTCTGTGCCCTTCCAGGCTGAGTAAACAGCAGTGTGAAGGGCCTGACCTGTTAAACCAAAGGAGGCTAGTGTGACAGATGAGACAGATGGGAGATGAGATGGATGTGAGAAGCAGAGGGAAGTGGCAAGAGTCAGATCTCTATGTCTAGCGTTTTTCCCAAACTCCCAATCCACCTTATCTTGTATCTCCTCTGAACACCAAACTAAAAACTCTTAGTACTATTGATTACTCTTCTCCCCAAACTGTATTTCTCACTTCCACAGTCTGTTAAAGATACAGTGTTTCACTAATAAAGATATTAGCTATTTTTATATAGCAGGCACATATGTCATGCATTCTAAGCACTTAATATATTAACTAGAGGCTCGGTGCATGGATTCGTGCACATTGAAAGGAAATTAATTAGAAGGTGGCAGTTGGGGTGGGACTGGGCCAGACGGGGCCAGACACGCCCTGGAGCCAACCTCCTGCTCCCTGGCCAGCCGCACCTGGGGTGGTGCTGGGGCTCGAAGGGCGTCTGCAGAGTGAGTGGGTCGGTCCACTCCAATCTTTATTATTTCCTTCCTGAAAAGATTGCCATAGACCCCTGTTTTTACCTAAAGTTTAGCAGTTTTTCATAAACACTTCTCTATTTGTTGGCTTTTGCTTGATATTTGGAGTCCTGAAATAGTAGTTTGGGACACTTGCCCAGTTTTATAGTATTTTTGGAGACAGATTTGCTGACCTCTTCACTTTGCCATTGCTGCAAGTTCCCCATGTAACTTTTAGATGTAAAATTTCAACCTATTTATTTATTTTTAAAACATATATATTTATTAATTTCAGAGAGGAAGGGAGAGAGATTGAAACATCAATGATGAGAGAGAATCACTGATCAGCTGCCTCCTGCAGGCCCCACACTGGGGATCAAGGCCGCAACCCGGGCATGTGCCCTGACCGGGAATTGAACCGTGACCTCCGTTTCATAGATTGATGCTCAACCACTGAGTCACGCCAGCCCGGCAAATTTCAACCTATTTAGTTGAAAGCTGCTAGGTACTGCATGTGAACTTGTTACTATTTTTAACTTTGGTGGTGGAAATAGATAAATGTTTCCTTTTCAAGGGCAAGTAGCAATAGGTCTTTCTTCCAGCAACTAGGAAGATGCCAAGGGTCTGTTTTGAAAAGCACAATGCTTCCCTTGGAAAATGATCTGGGAAAAGTATTTATGTTCCTATGTTTTGGATTAATGATTGTAGAACACCTTATGAACCTGGCTTAAAAAAAATAAAAAAAATATATATATACACACATATATACATACACACACACACACACACACTCATACACACATGTGCATGTTAGCATAAGTAGCTAGTTAGTTAAGAAGGGAGTCAATGGAATTGGACATTAAACCTGATTCACTAGGAAGCCACACATTCACAGGCTTTCCAGGGGACAGTGCCTTCTCCACCCAGGGGACTTCATTCCGGAAGTGGGCAGGAAGAATCAGCTCCAGTCATTAGCTGTGATTACCAAGGGAGGAATAAAAACAGCAGTGGCAGTTCCTTTGCTGAGTGCATGTGGCAACTTAAAGGGGTGGAGTCTAGCCTGGAAAACCTGGGGGAACGATTGGAGCGGACAGGGGGAGGATGCAGCACAAGCCCACAGGAGATAGGAGAGAGATTGGTTAGTTTGAAAGAAAGCCTGCTCTCTCCCAAGTCCAAAGTCGTATAACCAAATCGTAACAAAGAGCTGTCTTGGTAGCATGCTTTTGTTTGCCCATTCACTCCTGCGTGCTCTCTCTGTAGTAGCTGTGTGAGCCAAAGTGTTCCAACCCACTGAGCAACCCGGCCAAGGCTTCACTTACACACTTTTAAAACATCTTTAAAAAAAGAAATAAATCTTTTTAAAATATGATTTTTATTTATTTTAGAGAGAGAGGGAAAGAGAGAGAAACACTAATTGCCTCCTACATGCCCCGACCAGGAATTGAACCATAAACTGGAGGTATGTGCCCTGACCGGGAATAAATCCAGTAAACTTTTGATGCACGGGATGATGCTCAACCAACTGAGCCACCATGGCCAGGGCTAAAACATCTTCTTATTTCAACTTTATTTTTCCCCAGCTGCTCCCACTAAGTTCCCCAACTCTTCTGCTCCTGTGTTCAGAAATCGTTTGTAAATTTTGTCCTGCCCATGACCCCTCTGCTCCTGTCTCCTTTCTCCTTGTGCTCCTGTCCCACTTTCTCCCTTGGACTCCTGTGTCCTAGTGGAGCCTCCAAAGTCAGCGGATGGGCCTGTGAACAGCTGTGTCCCAGTCCCTTCAATCACTTGGGCTCAGTGCCTCCCGTGACCTTCAACCTCCTCCAGGCTGTAAGGCATGTCTAATGTTTACCTTCTCTCACCAACCACCAAACTCGCTCAGCTCGGCCTATCCTCCATTCGCTTTAAGGAGTCACTGTAGTGGAAGGCTTGGTGAGCCTGATCATATGAATTCTGGTTGATAGAGTGTCAGTTTACTCCCTGGCTTTCTGGTCAAATATGGAATAATTCATTTGCTGGTTTCTCCTTCTCTGAAGGCCTCTAAAACCGAGGAATAAAATTTGGTGGACCCTGCATGTTTCCAACTTCAACATAGGGGTGATTACAATTTAGAATTTTTTTTGCTCTGTGTTACCCACTTCAATATATGGGAAATGGAGCAATGAAGTTTTCCTGAAACTCTGATACCAGATCAGGTGTTTTTTTTATAAACAGATTTAAGAAGTAAAAGGGTTTTATGATACTACACTGAAAACGATTTTTACAATGCTTTTGCCCTCCAAATTCCAAAAGAATATCAACCAGTTGAATAGCTCATCTACAATGAGGAAAATACAACTGCTTTGCTGTCAAATGCACATACACGGACCCATAGCTAATCCACAGTAAAAACAAAATAAAATCAAACCTTGTAGAACTCTGTGGTGTCCCTACCTGTGGCCACTGAATCAAACACATCCCTGGGGAAAGTAAGCACATGCTTATCTACTGCAAAGTGTCTTTCATTCTAGGATTGTAGCCTGCATTACAGTCCAATGATACTGGATAAACACAAAGGAAAGATTTGCTTTTACAGCAATATTGACATGATGTTGTCAGAAACAACTTAGCATTAAACTTGATTGCTGTGACTATCCCAGTGGTTGTCTGGTGGCTCTAGGCTAGAAAGTCTAAATTAATGATTCGTAAATAATGATTCATCTTGTCAAGGTAATCAGACTTGAATAACGTTTCTAAGTTTTGTGTCATTTTTTTCTTCTTCACATCAGTATAAGAATATCAGTGTGGAGTCCAGTTAGGATTAACAAGCCATCTTTTCACTTGTAGAAAACTGAAGCACCTGAAAAAAAAAGAAAAGAGAATAATTATAAAAGTGTGTAAATCCCTTGACTTTGTGTGAGAGAAGAACAATAAATAGTCGAAAAATTGAACTGGTAAACTTTATGGCTATGAATAAATACATTGAGGTAGTTATTTTTTCTCCCTTGGCCCCCACATCTTCATTTATAAAATAAGAAGCTAGATGAGCCCTGGCCGGGTAGCTCAGTTGGTTAGAGCATGGTCCCGATACACCACGGTTGCAGGTTCTATCCCCAGTCAGGGCATATACAAGTATCAACCAACGAATGCATAAATAAATGGAACAACAAATCAATGTTTCTCTCTCTCCCCCTTTCCTTTTCTCTCTCTGAAATCAATAAAAACATATTTTAAACAAACAAAAAAAGAAACTGGACTTACACACTTGTGTCATCATAAATTTCCATAGAACACAAAGGACTGAATCAGTTTTTCTGAGTAATTATCTTCCAGCTTATTGATCTTACCTTTTAGAAAAATGACAGCAGTGCTATGCTATAGGGATAGACCAAGGTCTAAATGTCTTAGGGTCATCTCTTGGGATCTAAGAAAGAAAGCAAATTCAAAACTTAATATCATAAGACCACTGCAATATTTTACCAGGAAAAGTATATCAAATCTGTAGGTTTGGGGAAATTTTTCTGATGGGAGGAGGTAGCTTTTCCTGGGGAATACCCTTTCTTTCCAGGGTCAACTCTGAAGAGACAGGGGGTCTGGTATTGTGATATCTGCTGCTCTTCTCGTTGTTAAGTAAGATGACGCTCTATTAGTTATCTATCCTTTTTACTTCCAAGATGTGAATCTCACAGAGAATTATATTTCCTATGAACACATTTGCAGGGTTAGGGAGGGTGGAAAGGGGAGTGGTTAGGTTGAGAGTTGTTTGTGTTGGAGCCTAGGGACCAGGACTCCTGTGCCGTGATTTGAGAGCCGCTCTGTCTACACCTTCAGCCAAATGGTTTTTGTTCAGAACCCTTGCCAGTTAAAACCTAGGCTCATTTCCCTATCCTGGCCTTCAAGCCCCAAGAACTTGACTTGTGAATCCTTCCTTCTTGTGGTCCTCAATTCCTGTTTCCTCTGCTGGGAATGCTCTCCCTTAGGTTTGGCCAAAAAAGCAGAAATTACATTCCTTGCCTCTGCTGTTAGGCTTTTTTGTCCAAAGAGTTGACTTTTAGTTACACAGGTGTAAAAGCACAAACCTCCCATAAATAACAAAAAGTTAAGAGGGTTCCAAAAAGCTGTCCTCCTAATATTTATTTCATAAAAGTACAAAAAGAAGACAAAAAAAACCCCCACAAAACAAACAAAACAACCACCCAACTCCTATCAGGATAACTTAACAAATTCTACTCTTCCTGTTTGCTCTTAATCTGTAATGAAATATGAATGGAGGGCTAGGTTCGCCCTACTCAAAGAGACGTCCCTGATTCTCTACTTAGCTGCTGCGATGGGTATCTTATTTACAATCAGCCCGTTGCACCTGCGCTGGGCGGGCTGGACGCTGGACAAAGCTCCTCAGTAGTCTGAGGTCGATTCAGGTCAACTCTCCTGCTAAAGGTGATGGCAATTTTTAGTCTCTTCCAAAACCTGCCTCCTGTTCTTTCCACCAGACCTGGGTTCCTGGAGTACCCTTGGCTTTGGGACCCAGATCAACACTCATTATCTTGCTACCTCGGCCTTCTTGGGTCTTACCTCCTCCCTAGCTCCTTGAATGAGGACATAACTTTCTTTTTTTTTTTTTTTTTTTTTTTTTTTTTTTGGTTTCAGAGACCCAGACCTGGGACTTAAGCTGCTCTTCCTTGGCCTTTGGTGACCTTCCCTTTATCTTCTCTCTTGTTTGGTGCCATCGACCCCTTCCTCCCTCCTCCTCTTCCTCCCTGGTTGGTTCTTGATAGCTAGAATGAAGGCAATATGTTCACAATGGCCATCAAGATGGCCACTTTTAGTTAAATCTCAGCTTCTGAGATAGGTCTGTATCTGGTCTCATTGGTGTCAAGGCGTAGTGTCAGTGGTAGCTGCCATCAATCCAGAATTCCTCCTCATCATCTTCATCGTCATTATTGTGTAGTAAAGGATTAACTCAGCAGGCGTGTGTTGTCCAACCTCTGCACATTCCAAAGAAAGAGCCCTTGACCAGCCCCGGGGAGATAACACCTAAATAAACCCTTGAAGGATTCTGCCTGATTAGAGTGTCTGTCTACCTGAGGCGTTGGGCCAGGGGGCATCACCTGGCCTCTGGAAGGGCTGGACACTGAGTAACTCAGGTCAGCGATGCAGGTGACCTGTGCTACGTCACTGATCCCTCGTGAGAGCCCAGAACGCCAGACTCAGGTGAGCTTCCCAGGCGGTGGACACTTTGTGTTCCTTCTCCCACCTTGTTGCTGGGAGAATGCAGTGCTGTCGGTGTAGCTCCACCGGGAGAGCCCGCTGGAACCTCCTACCCAGTCTCTCCTGGACTTCGCCCTATCTGCCTTGCCCTTGGCGGACGTTAATCTGTATCCTCTCCCTGGAAGAAACCCAAACCAGGACTACAACAGCGTTCTAAGTCCGGTGAGTCCATCTAGCAAGTCTCTGAAGCTGATGGTGCTCTTGGGGACTTCAGACTCCATCATCATCATCATCATCATCACCATCATCATCAACGTATATTGACCACTTCCTAAGTATGGTCAACTGCTAAATGCTTTTCACATATTATCTACTTAAACCTTACAACAACCCTGTGAAGGAATTATAATTATCCTCTCCACACGCCTCCTCCCCCATTTTATAGATGAGGACACGGAGTGATCAGAAGAGTAAGTAAATCCCGAAAGGGAGAGCTGAGATGCCAGCCTGTCCTCCGGCTCCAGGCCGTGTCCTCACTGAGTTAAAGCAGTGCCTGTTACGCCTTTCCCTCCCCAGATAAGACCTCTTTCTCTCTCACATCCTGCCTTCCTCCCTCCCTCTCTTAATCTCAGGGAATTCAGCTTTGCCTTCTCCCCCCGCCCTCTCTCTTCTGATTCTCCGGCCCGAAGGAGTAACCTTCAGGGACCAGGTAGGAGAGCTTTTAGGTGCAAACATATACATTTAATGACAGTATCCGATAAACCACCGTCGTGGTCAGAAAGGCCCCTGCAGGGAGGAGTTGGGTCCGAGCATGGAGGGGAGCAGTCAGTCCCTGCCTCCTGGCACAGGCTTGCTCCACGTGGCACCAGTTTCACAGCCGGTGAGAGGGTGAGAGCGCCAGTGACCTCCGCCAGGACAGCGCGAGAGGCAGGGGAGAGTGTGAAGAGAGAGAGAGAGAGAGAGAGAGAGAGCGAGAGAGAGAGAGAGAGAGAGAACACCTCGCACTGGGAGGGCGTGGGCGCAGCACCCCGAGGAAGGGAGGCACCGTGGGCGTCTCCGCTCTGAGCGGCCCCTGAGTCATTCCGTCTCCCCGAGTCCACGTGGCCGGCGTGTTTGTGCCGCTGGAAGGCCCGGCCAGTGACTGCGGCGTAGCCTTCAGCAGAGCAGCCGGGAGATTGCGCGTTCCCACGTGCCGTGGGGTTGGTCCCAGAACCACAGGAAATGGGAGCAGTCCCTGGGACAGGCTGCTAGCCTCTCCCTCTCAGAGAACGGAGGCTGTGCATGGGGAAGGGGGGCCAGCTGTGCATGGCGAGGCTGTGCATGGGGTGAGGAGGGGGGAG